GGAGAATAGGCATTTACTTGTTACAAGGAACAAGTTTTGGATTGGAATAGCACACAAAATGACATTTTCCTTTTAAACCAGCTCAAAGCGATTTTGGAAAGATGAATACGCTGACAAGACACATCATCTCTGTCAACGGAGTCAGTTTGTTACAGTCGCTTGATTCAGTAAGAGCGACATGCTATGAAACTAGATCATTTCTAGTCATTAGAAATTTCAAGCTGAATTTGATGCACTCACTGGAGAAAGGAAACTTATATGGATTATAAAAAAAAAAAGAAAAAAACCTTCACCAGAGTGAAAGACAAGACACGCTTTAAATTTATCTGTAGAGGTACAATGTGGAAGGGGATGGTGGATGACTGGTGGGGAAATATATGCAAGACTAACAAATTAAATTCAATTATGCCATTATCTTTTTCAAGTCATAGTCATTTCCTCACTCTTGTTTAAACACTGTTCATTTTTCTGGTATATGTACAAACACAGTAGTGTATCATTAATTCTACTAGCACCATGTTCTGTTCAGCAGATCTTACTGCTTTCTGTTCTGTTTGGATTCCTATAGCCTTTGTCTTAACTCCTGCTCCTAGCACAGTCTACATTAAAAGCAATTTTAATATTTGCAACAGGTTTCAGAGTCTGTTTACACCAGCAGCGCTGAAAATTGAAAGGCAGCAATGAGTCTCTATGCACCAGCATTGAGAAAAATGTATTAAGATTGTGCAGCAGTTTACAAGAGATTCGTGAGTATTTTCAAGTTCTAGGAAACACTGCGTAGCTTTTGTGCATTGAAAGTTTGTAGGAAAATTTTGTGAGCTTTTGAAGAAAAAAAAAGTGCATTTCATAATATGCATTTCATTAACATAAGTGATAATAAACAATGGGGAAAATCCCATTGTATGGAAATCTCAGTAAATGGGCGGAAAAGGAAGGAAGCAAAATGCACACACTTACAGAATATTGACATGAAGGGCAAGTATATAGAAAAATTTAGAGGTTAAGAGACACCTGAGAACCCCCTTCCCAGCACCATGGAATTATGTCTGAAAAGATAAATGGCAGCCATTCCATTCAATAAACTTAAGTTAAGCAGATCTCTGAAATTACTCTGCATGGTCAGTTGGACTGTAAAGGAGAACCCACTGCATAACTTCAAAATGAGAAAAGACTGAATAACTAACCTTGATTAATAACTAAAATGGTTAGAAGCCACCTAAAAACAGATAAACTGTTTACCTCTGTTCTAAGAGCTCTCACTCAAATCGAGGACCATAGCTCTGCATCTTCACATAACCCAATTAGGAATTTTAAAACTGCAAGATTGGGGGTTCTGACTAACTATAAATGAGGTATAGGGAAGAGCAGCCAACAAGCAATCAGATTTAATCGAGTTTCTTTTTCTCGTTTCAATTGTAAGCCCTCTAGGCAAAGCCAACAGCTTATAGTCCTTACCAGAACATTTCCTGCAATACTGGTGATCTGTAGTCCTAAGGGCAGGACATTCAGTTCACACATGATCTGCAGAATAAAACTGGCGTCCATCCAGGTGTTCTCCAACATGTAGAGTAGCTGTGAAGACTCACTGCAGGGACAATATTACATGAGTATATTGAATACATATTCAAAGCAAAAAAAAACACAACGACATAGAAAACAATGGTATTATTTTATGCACCATTATTTCGATATTAAAAAAAACACAGATAAAAGACAAATGGGAGAGAAATGTTTCTATTACTTTTAATGTCACCACCTAGCTAAGCATAACACAAATTGCACACAATTAGACAATTGCCACTTAGTAGCTATCCTTATCCAGTATTCGGTGCCAAAGCATGCAATGTCATTGGTTCCAAGAGCACTGACGTTTACTTTCTAAGGTATGCACAGGTTTTCTGATATGCAGATATTAAAAGCACCCATTTTTCTTAAAAGGACACTACTTTACATTGAAAGCTCTTCAAGGGTTATTCCACTCAGAACTCATTTTGGTTTTAGGAAGGGCTTACCAGAATCCTGTAGGACATTAACACAAAGTAAAGAAACAAATTTACTGCAATGTCCCACAAAAACAAACACTGACCTTTCACTCCCTTGCTGCTGTGCTAGACTGTTGAGTTAAGAAATTACACATTACTTCTGGATATGGTGGACCACGTACCTCACTCCCCTTCCCATCATGTTACTGGCCTGGTGCTTGGCCCAAGAAGACAAGGAAAAAGTCCTCAGCTCTGTGCAAAGTCCAACTAAAAAGACTTGGAGCTTTCCTAGCAGCTAAATAGTATGATATTAAAGAAAAGGTAAGGAGGGGAGGGGGTAGGGGTGAGAGCGCTCTTAGAGCAAACCGGTTGCTCCAATGCCCTGCATGGACAAAAACACAGGTGTCATATATTTGTTTACTGAAATTACATACAGTAGCATTAATCCCAATAGAAACAGCACTTCTTAGAATCTGTTCTAGAAAGGCAGAAAGCAGATTCATGCAGTTTTAAAATGCTGAGATGTGAACTGCGTTCTGGATCCCACCTTAAAGGAGAA